CTTTCCGTTCTCTTCTTACAGCTTCTTTTCATCATTCTCAAGGGGACTTTGGTCTGTATCTATCTCAAGTTTGACTTTTAGCAATAGGATGCCAAATGAACAGACAACCCCACGCCCGTAAAACAAATAAACACAGAATGCTCCTGCTGAGAAGAGGTCAGAGAGAGAAGGGGCTCTGTGTCTCCTAAAACCCTCACCACTTTACCCAGCTGTGGTCCCTTGGGGCTGGCTCCACCCAAAAGTCCTCCATTTCCTCAGCAATGTATAAAACACACTGGGGTTTTACAAAGTCAGAAACTATGCTATCTAAAGGATTGAAGCAGTAGTCCCAGGAGAGGACTTCCATTTCTTAGTACCTCTGCTAAAATTAGAATATTTCCTCTCCTTCACCAGTCCAAAGTATTTGATTAAAAATCATTTCCCAGCGGCTGGTGGTGCGCTCACCTTTAATCCCAGCACTTGGGAGGCAGAGGCAGGCGGATCTCTGTGGGTTTGAGGCCAGCCTGGGCTGCAGAGAGAGTTCCAGGATAGGCTCCAGAGTTACACAGAGAAACCGTGTTTCAAACTAACCTTCTCCCCTGCCCCCCAATCATTTCCCATAAATCATTCTGGAAAGCCATGGCATGCCTTCATTCCAACCCAAACTTAACACAGGTCTGTAACCATTTATTGGTAAATGCCTATTTAAGATATCTAAACTTCCTCTGCTAAGAAACACATCAGCTCTTATTTAACCAACATTAACCACCACAGCATGGAAGGAAGGAGGCTCAGGAACTGTGAGTTGTTTTGTCCAAGGTTACAGCGTTAGCAGAGTAGGATTCTTGATCTGCCTCTTCACGAGCAGAGCCTGACACTTTCTAATCCCACTGTCTTCCACGTGCAAGCCTTTCTCTGTTCTCACTCCTAGAAATGCAAACTCGCCAGGACTCCTTGTCACAGGTCCTGAGGTCCTCTTCCATCCAGACTTGTGGAACAATGCTCCATGCCTGAAGACAAGCACGAAGCTTCCAGAAAGCTTTTTGTAAAACCCGGAACTCACGTTACAGGCCAGAGACCTGAACTCACCCACGTCAGATCTGGTCACAGACCTTCAACACCCCCCCCCCCCCCCCCCCCCCCCCCCCCCCCCCCCGCTACGAGCCCAGGCTGTACGTGTTCAGCTTTAGAAGGAAACTGGTCCTGTTAAACACTTACTAAACGCCCAGAAGGCCAACTGTGGCTAATACAGTTAATATTCAGCATTAACTCAAAGGTAAAGGCATTGGAATTCATGTTTAGGGGTTGCCACGGGACAAAGGGTGATTGCCATGCTAAGCTAGGGGCGAGAGCTGACCCCCAGCTGTTTGAATTTGGAGAAAGTAAAGGGAGTTCCGGTCGAGGCCCTTGGCAGGGCGCACGCAGGGTTAGTGTTAGCCAGTCAGCTACAGATAAGCAAAAATTTAAAGGGTTGGGGGCCTGACCTCCAGAACTGGAAGAGAATACATTTCCGTTGGTGGGGGAGGGGCGATATTAAGTAAGTGGTCACGGAAGGAGAAATTTGAATGCCTGGTTTCTGTAAACTGTGAGCGAAAGACTGAACAGGCCCTAGGCATTAAGAAGTCTGGGTTTCGGGGTGTGTTCTGATATCTAACCTCCGAGGACAGACGATCTAATAGCTGGGATCTGGGACCTTGAGTTCCCAACCCCAATTACCTTCTGTTCGAAGTAAAACACTGAGTAGTTATTGGCCTCATTAGGTTGGAATGTGGGGAAGATTTGCAAGTTTAGGTAGGCTAGGGTACTCAGGGCTGGGTTGACCGCTGCGGTGGCCACAGGTGCCAGGAAAGGCAGGAGCAGGAAAGCCAGGCCGCCCATGGCTCAGGCTGGCCGGCAGGGCGGGTGGCAGGGCAGGGACAGAAGGCCACCGGCAGAAGCGCGCGCCTGCCCAGCCCACAGCTCCAGGCTGCAGGCTCCCTTGAGAAACCCAAAACCAGGCAGCTCGGTTCCCTCTGGCACCATCTGTCCTCCTTCAAGCCCCCCTTCCCTTGGGCGGTATTCTGAGTCAGCCCTTACGCAGTAGCCGGGGCTCGCACCACCGTTATCTCGGGCTTCCCGAAGCCTGCTGCTCCGTCAGGTCAGGCTTTAGGATTGCCTCATTGTCCCTGACAAGCTGCTAGCACCGCAGCAGCCCCATTGCAACAGCTCTGTTCTCAGCAAATCCTACATAAGGGCACCAATAAAGACTCCAAGGCAATTCACTGGCGATCATCACTGGGCGTGGTAGCATTAGGTAACCTCCGCTCACTCAACCACCGGTAGCAACCGTGTGCACCACGCATGACCGTCATTTCTACTCACAAAAGAGGAAGCAGGTTAAAAAAAGTGAAAGGGCCTCAGCTTTGTGGCTCTCAGGAAGCAAAGACTGGAGCAAGGCCAGACAGATCGCTCTGCCCTCCTGCAGGCTGTTCAGGCTCTACACCTCCGTTAGGCCGCCTAACCGGTTCCAAGGTCCTCTGCCTCATTGCAGGCACAACCCATCCTTTCTGCACCAAAGATGGCAGATCCCTCTTCCAACAGTGCCCCCTCCTTCCTTCCTAATGGCGCCTGCTTCTCTGCCTTTTCCTCATTTTGACAGCCCTCAATCCCTCAGGCCCTCCCCTCTAAGACAGTTCTCCCCACTTCTGGCCCCTTCCTCTAACACAGTACCTGGTCCAGAGTTGCACTCCCCGGAAGGAACAGCCGTTCCTGTAACAGCAGAAGAACATCCCTCAGATTCTGTCTACGCCAATTTGACAGAAAATGGTCAAGGTGTCCTTCTCTTCTACCCTGCCACCCTCAGCAAGCATCTCAAACCTTCACTTGTCAAGAATCTGGAATAATTATCACGTTGCCCGGATTGGACTGCTGTGGTTTCCCACTGACCTTAATCACAGGACATCATAACACCAAGAGATGAAATAGAAGATCTCCTGGACCACAGACGTACCTTCCTCACCTCCATTGGTGGGGAGGCAGTCTGAGTTTCTCTTTACCGCCTGAACCAACCGCTCTCGCTAACACTGTAACTCCTGTTAGCGTGTTGATTCAGAGCCCCGGGAGTTCACGGTTATCTGTGGGGTGGGTGACTTTAGTTTTCAGGTCAATGGAATTTTGGTTGTGCCTCCTGGTAGAAACACTCCCTGCTCCAAAAACAATGTTTCTAAGCCATGAAAACATAAGGTCGTAGCAACAAGAAACAAAATTTAGCTAACTGGTGATTATTTTTACCTCTTCATTCCAATTTCCACCCCTTGGTTTATGGACACACAGTCCTGGTGATGGGGGAAATGGTACAATATGTTGAGTTCCAATCCCAAGAATACACTGCCTTCTGGAGAATCTTCCCTAGTCCTCTAGATTACTGGCATCCAATTGGCACCGTAACCGTCATTATCAAACCATTCCACTGTTCGATCAAGCCATTGCTTCAGAGCTATAAGGAATAAGGTGAGATGGGTGGGTCCCATGCACATGAGACCCCCGCCACACTTCTTTGGCTATGAAGTCAATTCCTTAGTCAGAAACAATGCTGCCTGGAACACCATAAGGGAGTTAAGGCAGTCTTGGGTGCCTTGTTGGGGGTTCAGTGTTGCTCTCTCTGTTGACAGACCTGGTACCCAGCAGCATCTATAGCCAGGTCGTCTTTGGTAAATGGACATCCATGCTGTTGAACCTACTTATAACCTCTATCTCTGCCACCACGACCTCCCTGCCTCCTCCTGACAAGACTGTGAGCCTGTTAAACTTCAGTTATTCAAGCCTATTTCCCAGATCTGTGCATTCTGTGCAGTGTATGAGCACCCCAGAAAAAGCACTGCTGCATTAAATTACACATCTCAAAAGGGAATACACTCTTAGAAAAAAGAATTTGCAATTTAAAATGAAATAAAAAGCGAACAAAAGCATAGATCTCACACGTAAATGACACAGATGAACCACTATACCTCCATGGTCAATTCCCCATTTTCATCCTCAAAATCACCTCCTGTGACAGGTTTTACCTCTAGCTTATGAATGAGAGAGCTGACATTTAACTGTGACCCCTCACAGACAGTTTGCCTTCTCATGCTCCCCTTCCTCATCTGCCCTGACAGCGGGTAAAGCAGCTCAGCCTTTCTCCCAACTCAGGTGTGAGAATTTAAATGTCCGCAAATGCTCTGTCACCGCTACTGAGAATGGTGCTCTCCAAATGCCATTCCTCCTGGTGACCACAGTCCTCACTTCCAGGGAAGCCCAGGAAAAGGCTGGCCCTGGACCATGTGCTCTGCTCACGGTACCCAAAAGAGACGGGTATCTGTCCATCGATGCTGTGGGCCTGTCCAGGCCTCTCCTGTGTTGCTGTGCAGCTGAGAAGGTGAAACACAGGGCTACCAAAAGCTGCCAACAGCCCCTTCCTCTGGAGACAGGCATTTACTAGAAGACAGAAGGACCAATAGCTTCGGGAGCATTGTTCAGCCACATTGGAGAGGGGATTAAGCAGATACATTCAGCTATTCTAACAGATTTCCTTTAAGCCTTGACTGCGCCTCTCACACTCGGATAATCACATTAGTTTTGTCCTTAAGAGATTCCTTTTATAGAAGGTACCTAAACCGCTTACGCCACCCAGAGAGGGTGCATATTTTATCGAGCACCAAGACAAACAAAAGGGATTTTTATTCTCATGTTTCCCTTATTCCGAGAGAGGGAAAGGGGAGGGGGAGGAGAGAGGAGAGAAGAAAGACCAAGGTAGAAATGACTTTGCAAATGGCCAGCGGCTGCATGGTCATTCCTGGGCACTGGGAAGACTGGGAACTCCCTCAGTGTGACGGTCAATGGACAAAAGCAGAGAGTGCTGCAGAGGCTGGGGCGGGAGGGTAAGGAGTGGGTGCTGCCGGGGAAACAAGGAAGAGCAGAACAGCTCACACCGGGATTATACAACTGCTGCTCACTCGCCCTGCGGCCAGGGCCATAACCTCTCGGCTCCACAGACACCCCTAAGAAGTTCTCTAAATGTATTTATTCCAACTGACTCTAAGTAATTAAGGTAACAAAAGATATAAAAAAAATTTCACTCCAATTTTAGACAAATAAGGCACTCTAATTTTGTACAATTCCCATTTCCTATGTGTTAAAGTAATCGCATTATCAAATATAAGGGCAATTTAAATATTTTTGTTTGTTTGTTTCTACAGTGGGGTCTTGCTTTGTTGTTCATAATGGTTTTGAATTCCTGGGCAGAAGTTATCTTCCCGCCTGAGGTTCTTAGTTACCAGGGGTTACAAGCAGATCTGCCACCCTAGGATAAAGATTTAATAGGGCTTACTTTATATTCTGATTCTCTTTCAATTTAAAATTAACTTAAGAACATTTAAATAAGGTCAAGATAGGTTAAGACTGTTGTTATATACATAAAATATACAGAAGTAAAACGAAATTATACTTGCATAAATTCTTTTGCAATGTATTTCTTTAAAAAAACTTCAATTTCAACTTCACCTAACAGCTAATACAACATCAAATGCCAAAGTATCTTAAAGCTTGCAAATTAGTAAAAAGATTTTGTGGAAAACCACCTAAAATCCCAAAATAAGAGTAATAATGTCCTCCATTAGACCTTGTCCAATCCTAAGCGTGAGCTAAGCAACGACGACACCAAATTGGATGGGAAAATCCCATAAGGCCTCATCCTATGCAAAGAACTACAGAAAACTAAGGAAAGCGGAGAGATGGAGAGACAGCCCTCCCCAGGGAAAAACACATCAACTGGTTACTCATACAAAACGGCCAATCCCGAAGCCATTCATAGAGTAACATGACACAGACTGTGCAGTCCGCACTTAGGAATATATCTGTGCATACATACGTGTACATACATGTATACAATAACAATTAATTAAAAGAGAGCAGGGAGGGGTATATAGGAGGGCTTGGAGGGAGGAAAAGCAAAAGAGGAATGTTGTGATTGTATTATAATCTCAAAAATAAAAATGGAATAATAAAATAAGACCTTGTTGAAGGTCTGAGAATATTTTTTAAAAATCAAGAAATGGTAAGGACATGACTGAGAAAATAGTAAGAAACTGGGGAGAGAAGCTCTTTCAGCAGAGACAAGACTGTCAGTCTCGGTGTCCCTGAAAGGTCTGGACTCTGCTTTATTTTCTATCCTAGAAAAAACCCTTTGGAAGAAAGGCCTCACAACCGCTTGGCAGTTCCACCCCCCCTGGAGACGGGAAGGGTCCGTCATCTGCCGTGTGTGTACATTGCTCTGCCTGTCGCCTGGAAGCCACACAGGAAAGTCCCCACGCACCTGCTGCTCCGAGTCCTGCCACTTAAGGCTTCCATGATACCAGTAACAATGACTAGAACGTGAAATTCCTTCATGAAATAAACAGAAGTACACTCTATTTTCTCAATAGCTGATTTGCCAATTTTTAAAGGATTTTTATTAACAGAATTTGTGCAGTTTTAAAGTAAAAAAACAGCACATTTCCTAAACTGGCAGAATTTAGGCAGTCACGACAAAACAGACCTGAGAAACAAAGAGCAATGGAGCAGGAGAAGCCAGATTTCTTCCTGGCAGTACCACGGTGGCAAATATCAGGAACTAAGGAAAGCTGCCAAGGGGGAAAGAGAAAAAGAAAGGACTTTGCAAAGGCAGCAGGCCCAGGCACACTGCCTTCCCAACAGCGGAGGAGACGGGAGCAAAACACAGGTAGGTCTGCCTCGGTCTTTATTGCAGCACAGTTCAAAGGCCACCATGGAGCTCACAGGAAGCCGCCCCATTTCCTGGATTGGCACCGCACAGCCCACCAGCTGCAGCGGCAGCATTTCTAGCCCAGCTTCTGCTTTTCCTTTGGTGCCAGGAATGGGGGCTCACAATGGGCCAGAGAGACGACCACCTCAAAACCAAGGCTACGTCCCCACTTGTGAGAAAAGTGGCTCTCCCTCTGCTGAAAGACAGTCAGGAACCATGCCAGTTCTGATGGCAGGAGAGCCGCCATGATGACGTTCTTCCTGGGGAGTGACACAAAGAAATGAGGACGGAGCAGTCACCTGGGTGGGGTGGCTGTGTGCACCCCGTCACTCTCTTCTGTCTCAGTCTTGGCCCAACAGATACGACAAGGGAGAGAAACCAATTACATACAGGAAACCACAGTGAGAGGGAATGTGGGTGGAGCGAACATAGAAGAAAACAAAAAATTATTTTTCTTAAAGTTGCTCAGGACTGCCGTCTGGCATTTTGATAGAAATCTGCGATCCATTTCTTCATGTGTTTAACTTCCGATGAGCGCGCTAACAGCACAGTGGAAGGATCGAAGGCGGTGCTGGCTCGAAGATCTAAGTGATGGGCCCCTCCGGGGATATTGATCGCCACCAGGGTATCTGTGATGTCTTTGGTTACTCCACCTCCTGACCACGGGTCTAAGTCACCGTTGCTGCAAACGAGAGGAAGGAGAAAATCAATATGCCTTTATATTGTCTCCACCTTTCGGACAAGCATTGCACATGTGAACGCTATCACCCTCAAGGCTTCGTAGACTTGCACATCTTAAGTTCCCCTGCGTATATCTAGGAATGGAATTTCCGAGATATGTGATACCACTTAACTTCCTCATGAACTGCCAAAAAGTTTCCTAAAGTAGCTTCACCATTTAATAGTCCCGTTAGCAACCCAGGATTTGGATTCTTTGTCACTGTGGATTGAGGTGGGATTAGAGGAGAGCTTGACCACTAGGCTACAAGTCAGTCTTCGCCGTGGTCTTCACATACATGCCCAGCTGATACTGATCATCTTTTCATGTCTTGTTAGGCCACTTGAATAGACCATTCGGAAAATTTTCTGAGACTATCACTTTCCCTGCTGCGGTCCTAATAAAGGCATCAGCTCATAAATACCCGCCCTCTCCTTGCCTGTCCTCCCTGACCTTCACTGTGCAGACTTCAGAGGTGCCATGTTTCTAGAGAAATATGAACACGACTCCTAAACTTCCACACTGTGGTTGTCACCTGTGTACATAGATCCCAGTGGGTGTTTTTCTGTCTGGCTTTTAGTAGCTACTAAGGACAGCAATGGGGTAAGCTGGTGGAATGATTCAAAGAGATTCATTTAAAATACTGCTGTGAAAATGTTGCTGCCGGGAATGGCTGCATATGTCAGCAAACCCAGCGATGGAAAGATAGAGGAAGGAGAGTCAGGAGTTCAATGTCTTCCTTAGCTACATGAGGAGTTCAACATCAGTCTGGACTACCTGAAGCCTTGTCTCAAAGAACCAAATGATGCTATCCTTCCAAATATGAGAGCATAAGATGTTTTCCTATTAAAAGGAATATACTTAGATAAGAGTTGAGGGATCCGTTAGTCTGTGGGTATAAGGACATGACAAGTCATCAGGAGCTGGTTTGATACGATGTCCACTTAGCAGCACAGCAGTAGGCGGTCCTTCCTTAGGGTCTATGACGTGTCTAATACATGTTCTTAGCTGATAAAGGTGCTGGGCATGGGTTTCACCTTGTGGAGCTGGCCTTAAATCCAATGAGAAACTGGCTGGTAGCTCCCATGATGTTTGTGCCACCACTGCACCACTGGGCATGTCTTCGCCTACCCAGTTGTTACTGCAGCTCACAGGGTTCGTAGCTGTATGACTGACGATTGCTTTCTTTCTCCTGCAGCTTGTATAACACCGTCCAGCGTTATGAATCCTACTTGACTTTGCCCTGTTCTATGACTCAAGTACATGGTATCTGACCACCAAGTTCTTCAGGGTAACCAAGAGCAATGGCAATAGCCTGCTGGTTTGGGGGCTCTTTAGAATATCACCTGCAACTCCAAAATAATCAGCTAATTCCTGCCACTGGGCTTTTTATTAGTTAGACTTTGATGTCTAGCAGGGGCATTGTTGCCCAATCATAGGGAAACTCTTGTGTGTGTGTGTGTGTGTGTGTGTGTGTGTTAGCATAAGTTTTTATAATAGAAACTTCCACATAGCTTTTTTTGAAAGGTCTTGAGTGGTTTTCTTTTTCATTTCTTCCATATTCACCCCCCTCCCCTACCCTTACGTCCTTGTGTGTGCACGCGCATCCATGCACTCGCATGCTGTTAGCTGTGAGTAGCAGTGAGAAGAACTAAGTCTGCAAATACGAGTCTTACATCCATACTGCCTGCATAATTTCAGTAAGAACCTAGGAGAACCTCAATTCTCACTGTACCATAGAAAAGAAAATGTTTTTACAAGATCAATTGTCCCAAACTAAATAACACGTGTGGCACATGTGTATACTACATATAGCACAAAGTACAAAACACTAACAAACACCCAATCGCTATGATTACTATAGTATTATACAAGGATGAGAAACATTAATATCACCAACGGATAAAATAATAATAAAAAATAGATGTAAAGTATTTCTCAGAAAATCAATCAAAGTATTAATTCAATGAGCATGTGTATATGTGTGTTGTGTGTTGTGGTAGGTGCATGTATGTAAGAATGTGGTGGGGGGAGCAGGAGCCTGTGCAGAGGCCAGAAGTCAGTATTCGGTGTCATCTTCTGTCTCTTTATTTACTCTTGAGACAGGCTCTCAGGCTAAACCTGAAGCTCACTATCTCGCCTAGACTGGCTAACTAGAGATCTGTGCTATACCAGCCTACCCCACAACAACTAAGGTACAGGCATGTACCACTACACCAGCTTTTACGTGGTGCTGAGGATCTGAATTCAGGTCCTCTGGCTTGTACAGGAAACATTTTCCAGACTGAACCATCTCTAATTCCCATCAACCAACTCTTTCTAGGCAAATGTATAAGTAAATATTCAGGTATATTGAATATATCTGCATTTGAAATACAATTTTAAATTCCCTGTTCTATTATTATGTATTTCTCCTTTAAGAAAAAAAGCAGTATTTTAATTGCTACTTAATGTAGAATTCTAGGGAAAAAATTACTCTAAATATATACTTTTGTTTGTTTTATTACAAAGCAAAGAGGAAAACTCCTATGCCCAATAGAACTTATATATTCCTCTACAGTATAAATGTACATAAACCACACATAAGACGGATTCTCTTAAGTATACAAATTTCTTTTTTCATTTTCCAATTAATACGCACAACCAGTCAGGAAATGCTCCAGCATTTGCAAAACAAAAAGAAGCTGCAGCCACGTGAAGAGCAAACTGCATCTGCTTTAAAAGGTCATGTGCAGCACCTGGTCACTTAGCAACAGTGTTTGGAGTTGCCCAGAGACCTCCTCTGCACTCGGACTTGAATTTCTCAGTTCAGATCAATGAAAGCTACCCCAGCCTCTGGGAAATCTCAGGATAGAGACTGTTTTCCCGAGGGACTCCAGATACCTGGGTAAAATCCTCACATAATCACTGGCCATAATAAATTTGCCTGGGAAACGATGTTAGTTAACCAGTTATTCATGGGGTCTCTTCTGAATTTATACTTAAATAACTGAGACTCACCATTGGAGAAATAATCTATGGGTTTTAGAAAACCCAAATCCTCCTAAGAAAACAATGAAAAGAACTGCCAAGGTAGGACTATAAGAGCTACGTTCTATCATGGTCTCAGCTGAGCCAGTGTTTACTGAGTGCCCACCCACCCTGTGCCTGGTGCTCCATAGCAGAAAAGAATGGCAACACTATTGTATTCTGCTACTTTATTACCGAGCACTTTCCTAGTTAAACGTTCTCGGCCATTCTGCAAGTCTCTCCACCAACCAACAAGCTCACCTGAAAATGATGTTCGAATGTGAACTGATGTTTTTGCCGCCATACAAGGTAGTTATCCAATGAGGCCGTGGTTTCACACCCCACTGGCTAAAACAGTCATCGGAAAACTTCTCCAAGTCCCACTGATATGTTTCAAACATGTCATCAACACCATTAGCACAAAAGGGCATGACCATTTCTGTGCAGGACTGAAAAGCAAAGCCAGAAAGGAAACAAAGGGAATGTGAGATGAAAAGAGACAAATTATGCAAATTTATTCAGCTGCTATGTTGTAGAGCTAGGGTCTGAACTTGCAATAGAGCTTCAGCCCCCAACCTACCCTCAACTTTCCTGCCACACAACCCCTTATTTCTCATACAAAGACATGGTTGAGATGTCACAGGAGTTAGCACTGTTTTCTTCCTTCCTCCCTGCCTTCCTTCATTTCTGCCTTTCTGTCTTTCTTCCTTTTTTCCTTCATTTCTTTCTTTGTTTCTTTGCAAAAACTTTTCCTTCATGTCTTTAATCATATTTAGCCCTCGAGACAACCCTGGCAGTCTTACTGTGCAGGTCACAGAATGGAGACTCAGAGTCAAGTTAGACTTCCCTTCCTTCGTACAGCCTTACAGTGCTTCCTTTGCAGGACTTGTCAAGGTCTATTATAGTGTTAATTTATCTTTCTCATCAGGCTACATTTTAAAGTAAAAAAATCACAATTATTTATTTTTATATGTTTGAAACATAAGAGATTATGATCAATGATAGCCATGCATTATATATTTACTGATGATTAAATATAGGAAGGGAGGAAAGATTGAAGAAGGAGGGAGAGGGTCATGCTGCAACTTCACAGTGGCCAGGCTTGGGTCAAGTTAGGTAGCACAATGACTGGTTTATATGACAGTGCAATAGAACCAGTAAAGAGCCAGTTGAGCTCAGGGAAACTATGATGCTCACCTGATAGCTCCAGCCCACGGAGCCTAGACTGCCGGTGGCTGTTTGTGAAATATTCAGGCATTGCGCTTGGCCTGAATAATTATAATATATATTCAGAGCTTGGAAAATATTCTGCAGCAGCACTGTATCCGATACATTAGGATTTTTCAAGTACTGGCACACTACCTAAGGAGAGTCAGATATAAATAAAAAATTAGTTATTCTTCGAAGGTAGAAATTGTTCAGCAACACATTAAGATTTTATTAATGTTTTATGACAAAATTGAGATATTTCCTCTTCATCTCACTCATTTGCTATTCATGCACTCACCCTAAATCATTTTTAACTTTACACCCCATTCTACAATAGCCTTGCCATTTTCAGTTTTATGGTAATTAGTAACAAAGTCTATTTCTACATCTTGAATGGTTCATGTAACAGTATACATTCTTAACAAGAGAGCCATCTCTCTAGCCCCCCCCCTTGTCTTTAGATGGACTGTCCAAACTAAAAAGTACTAGAGAAGTCTTAAGAGTTCAATTACACCACAGACTAGATAAACTTGACATAAGTTTATTGACTATTCCATCTAACAAATACAGTGTTCTTACCACCCATGAAATCTTCTCCTAAAGTACCATCTTCTAGGCTTCAAATTCAATCTTATGGAATATTAAAAATTCTTATATATTTTTATGTAAAGATTCTTATACATATTCTTATATATTTCCAGATCATAGCACAGTAAAACTACAAACCACACAAATGCACACAGAGAGAACATTATACTTATGGATGACTAGTGGGGCTGAAAGAAACTGGAGAGGAAATTTTTTAAAATTCTAGAATCAAATGAAAAAGAAATCACAACTTAACCAGAAACTTCAGGATACAACTAAGGCTGTTCTAAATGGTACTAGTTTTGAGTGCTTATATTTTAAAACCAGAAATATCTCCAGATAAATAATTTGATGACATACCTTAAGGTATCAGAAAAAATGAGAAGATTGCAAATCCAAAAGTAGCAAAAAAGCAAGAAATAATAAAGACCAGGGCAGAAATTAATGAAATGGAGACTAAAAGAAAAACTCATAGAATCAATCAAGGGGTTGATTCTTAAAGGAAAAAAAATATAAACCAGATTGACAGGGCACCTAACCAAACTAAGCAAAAAAAAAAAAAAAAAAAAAAAAAAAAGAGAGGGGGGGGTAATAAAGTGACAAACTGGAGGTGAAAGATGGAGGCTATTACATATGCCAATGACATCCAGAAAGGTTTCACTGAAGAAGAAGGATCTATCCTAAATATGATTAGCACCATCCCATAGGCTGGGGTCTATACTGAATTAAAAAAAGAGAATGAGAGCTTCCTGGTGAAGACGCAGTGTGACCATCTTCAACTGCGCTGCTGTTGTGCCCCCATGATGGACTGCATCCTCTCGAATGTAAGTTGAAGTACAGTCCTCCTTACCTGAGTGAAAATACAGTCCTCCCTACTTGAGTGGAAATACAGTCCTCCCCCTACTTGAGTGGAAATACAGTCCTCCTTACCTGAGTGGAAATACAGTCCTCCCTACTTGAGTGGAAATACAGTCCTCCTTACTTGAGTTGCTTCTTGTCAACTACTTAGTCACAAGCTGTGAGACCAACATACTTCAAAAGAAGAGATGCAAATGTGTGTGTGTGTGTGTGTGTGTGTGTTTATATGTCACAAGGAAGGATGGAAAAGCAAATACTGAAAGCAAGAAAAATAGTCTTCCCAGGGAAAGCATGCCGGTTGGTTGTCCAAAATGAAAAGGTCAGCCCTGAAAACATCATGTTTATATATTTGGGGACACACACACAGCAAATGAAGAAAAGGAGGCCACGAATTTGAGAGAGAGCAAAGAAGGCAATACATGGGAGAAGTTGAAGGGAGGAGAGGAAAAGAGGGAAATGATATATTATAGGCTCAAAAATAAAAATTAGAATAAAAATACTGGAAACGTTAATAGTTGCTTAGTCCTGATGAAGGCATATCACCTTTTATGGAACTATTTTTGCCAGTGTTCTGTGGACTTAAAACTTTCAAACTAAGCTGGTAAAATAAAACAAACCTCTTTCACTTATACTAAAGCAAAGAAATATATAAAGGGGAAGAAGAGAAAAATGAAAGGAGAGAGAAAGAGAGGTAGAAAGGAAGACAAATGGCCATAAACACTTAAAGAGTGACAACTGAGCTGACACTAAAAATGATACTTATTTTACCTGGTTTTTGTTGGAAACACTGTATACGAAATATACAGAGGAAATAGATGTTTCCTATTAATTACAAGGTTATAATAGACTTTTAAATTAAAAGTACATGTGAACCTGTGGTGACACAGGTTTGTCATCCAGTGCTGGGGAGGCCTGCCTGGACAACAGAGTGACTTCAAGACCAGGCCATGTCTCAAAACAGGAAGTAGAAAGAGGATCAGCCATATAGTTCAGCATGTGAACGGTCCCAGGGTGGATCTGTACTGAAGGTGGGAGGTGGGGAGTTGGTACTTTTGAAACCCAGTGCTCACATGACTGATTCTAGTTTCATTTCCAATACTGCACACCATGGAAATACCATCAATTATTTCCTCAAACCTTAACCATGAATTCAGCCAGGCTTTGGTTTTAAAATTAAGAAAGACATTCTTAACAAATGAATGTTTAAGTTGAGCATATGTAATAAATACTTTTACCATGAAAAGAACTTTAGCACTGTGAAAGATCGAAAAATGAGTGTGGTATGTTTTCACACTGGAAAAAGAACATAAAATTATCATAATTTACTACTCGTGGGTGTCCCCAAATCTAATAATTTGCAGAGTCTGCAGCAGAACTCCGCGCATTTACTTTCGTGCTATTGCACAGAGGAAGACAGGGAGCCCTGGGGAAGAAGCCCCTTGTCTAGGATCACAGAGAGGTAAGCAGCAGCTCCAGGCCACTCCCTCGCCACCAGCACATCAGGAGATTCTCTTGCACGCTGCTGTTTGGCAGGTGGATCATCGTTTGCGGTAAGTGTGGCATTTAGGATGCCTTTAATGGTCCACTGACTCAGAACAGTGACAAAAGCTGCCACTTGTTCAGCTCAGCTAATGTATTACGTAGATCTAGGCATGATACAAAGACGAGACACATTATATATCAAAGTACAGCCCAGAATTTGACACACAATAGTTATTCCATTAGCACCCCAACTATTGGTCTTATTTCTTATTCCGATAATGCTGTAACCGATGAGATTTATCTCCAGTTCTCGAGTGAGAAAACCGGGGTCAGAAGACAGCCGACATGCCTAAGATCAAATAATCAGAGCGCTGTAGAACCCAGGATTCCCGCCCACAAGCATTAATTTCACAGAGTCTCTAAGTGGAATTTTTCCTGATGTTGAAAGTCAAAGCCTGCATATCAAAAAAAAAAAAAAGAGAAAAATATTTTACATAAAAAATAGAAGACACTTTCCCATTACCTTGATAGGCCAAGCAGGCAAGGGCTGTAGAAAATTGGCTTCATAAGGGTAGTCCACCATGGCCAGGTTCAACCAGGTCTCCGAGATCCATTCTTTTAAATATGAGATGTCCTCAGAAGACAAGGGGCTACAGAGGTGAAGGGCTTTTGTGAGCCATTGGAGACCACCACCTGAAGATAGAAGGGCATTGCTAATCTGCAGATCAACCAATCATGTATTCTCTACTTGGAATTACGGAAAACACAGTTTCTACATGACTTCTCCAAGAAATTTTCCAATCTTCAACAAAATATTTTAGGACAATTAGATACACTCATAAAATTTACCAAAATTAATATTATTTCCTGGTTTAAGATACTACTGAAATAAATAAGAATACTAAAAACTGCATAAACTACAATAAAATTAAGCAAATAGATACACTTAATTATTAGAACAGAAGGTTACTATTATCAGAAGGTTTCAACCTTCCTGATACTGAGACCTTTTAATACAGCTCCTCATATTATGGTGATCCCTAACCATAAAATTATTTTGTTGCTACTTTAGAACTGTAATTTTGCTACTGTTATGAATTGTAATACATATATCTGATATGCAAGACATCTGATATATGACCACCAAAAGGGCTGCAACCCATAAGTTGAGAACCACTGAATTAGACTATTGAGCACAAGACAGCAAACACACAAAATCCCACACACTATGGAACTCTCATGACTAAGACACCAGAATAAGAACATCAGCCTACGGTTCAAGATGAGATTGACTGTGTAGGTGTGAGGAAGGACTGAGGACAGCAATAGGCTGATATTACTGACACCAAGCATTTGCTTTTAAAATATTATTTATTTATATATTTTGATTGGTATAATTCTGTATAGGTAGAGTGTGTGTGTGTGTGTGTGTGTGTGTGTTAACGTGTGGCAGTATTAGATGAGGAAGACTCCTCAGTAGGTAAGGTCCCAGCTATGCAAACATATAAGACCTAAGTTTGAACTCCTATAACCCATATAAAACCCCAGAAGTGGTGGTGTGTGCCTGTAACTCCAGGTTAGGTCGGGAGGGGCAAAGATAAGCAGATCCCCGAAGCTCACTGGCCAGCCAGCCTATCCTGTGAATGAGCTTCAGATTCAGTGAGAGACTATGTCTCAACAAGAAAAAAAAAAAGGCAGGGAGAGGACTTGAAGAAAGGCACCAAAAGTGACCTCTGACCTCCACATGCACACACATGCATGCCCACTGAACAGGTACAGCAGTGATCACATACTAACAGGCACATACAAAACAATACACAAACATTTAATACATCATACACACACAGACAGACAGACAGACAGACAGACAGACAGACAGACAGACAGACAATACAACAAAGACACATGACTACAATTAAAAAAAAAAGTCACAGTGGGGGCTGGAGAGATGGCTCAGAGGTTAAGAACACTGACTGTTCTTTCAGAGGTCCTAAGTTCAATTCCCAGCAACCACATTGTGGCTCACAACCATCTATAATGATGGCCTGTAAACATACATGCAGACACTGTGTACATAATAAATAAATCTTCAAAAAAAATTTAAAAAGTCACAGTGTTAGATTTTTGATTTTTTTCCTGGGGTCAGGGTGCGTGTCTGAGAAAAGATTTCTTGGTATAACCCTGGCTGTCCTGGAACTCGCTCTGTAGGCCAGGCTGGCGTCGAACTCACAGAGATCTGCCTGCCTCTGCCTCCCGAGTGCTGGGATTAAAAGGCCTGCACCGCCACCCAGTGGCCACATGGATTGTTAAAGGGTAAAGAAAAACAGACAAACTGCAAATTCACTCTCTTAATGAAAGCGTACCTGTACTGGAGAGTCGGTTAATGGCACCCCAGGATCTGCGGATGCTCTCTGCACAGTGTGGACCACTTTTCCTAAAATCTTCCGTTACAATCTTCATAAATATACCACAGGGAACCAAATCCTCAAACTGCCAGATAGGGGCAGAAGCTGCAAGAGCTCTTAATGATAGAGGAAACGAGAGGAGAAAGAGAGAAATGTAATTTGTCTACTCATTCTTTGTTTATTGATTTTGCTTTTTCGAATGTGTGTACGCATGTGTTTGTGTCACATGTGTGCAAGTCCCTGTGGAGACTAGAGAAGAGGTCAGGTCAGCTGGAACTTGAGTTACAGGCCATTGTGAGCCACCTGACACAGGTGCTAGGAACCAAATCCATAATACTATTGCTAATGAGAACGAAACCAAAAATGCCCATACACACAGCATGGAGCTTTACGAACCTCTAATTGTTTCTAGATTGTTAGCTGTGTCCAGCATAAATGCACTTACCCAACTACTGAGTGAGGATATTTCATTCTGAACCAGGCTGCGAGCATGCCACCATAAGAGCCCCCGATGGCAATGACAGGCTGGTTTCCAGCTCCTGGGATTGTTCTTCTCAAGTGTCTGATTAACTCTGCAAAATCAGCCAGGGCTTGTTCTGACGTCAGGAAATTTAAGTGTTGGGAATCCTGTACATTGTGTGTATTTATTCATTTTAAGAACAAAGACAAAGAGACCAGGAATAAATGAGTACATATTGGCAGCTGAGGCACAATGTAGATTCAGAACAGTTTTCGTTCCTTGAAATAGATTTCCAGACAATTGAGCTAAAATCGCACATCATCCACATCAAAGCAACCCATGAGAAGTAACTAAGTCTGTGAAAGAACATGGCATATTTTCTAATCGAATGTAATTCTGTTACTATTAAAAGTTTTTTTTTCAAATGCAAAACAGAAAGCAAGACCTAACACACATTTAAACATTTAAGAAAATGTCCTTAAAGAGCAGAGACCTCACTATGGCCTACTTAAACATTTAGCCAGTTGGATTCTTCGACCACAGCTCTGATTTTGTTGAGAAATGTAAAGTATAAATATGATACATAGCTATTTTTAAGTTACAGAACTCCTTATTTGTAAACAAGACAATACATTTGAGGAAGATTCATAAAAGGAACCGTCCTAGGGATGTTCCTGGGCAACAGGAACCGTATCTGTGAACCACACAGAGGCATTGGTCAAGCCCAAAACGTCTCCATTTTCCTAAGTGGATAGTGATCCTCTTGTCTCCAGCAGCCAGCGTCCTCCAGAACAAACAGTGATGGTTTAGAATAAGGATATGGACACCCACAGGGTCTGGAAAGGGAGGTTTCTTGAGCCCTCAGCTTATGTCTCAGGGATGGATGTCAGTAATCTTATGAGGTCTGAAGGATACTTTTGTTTCTGAGTGAAATAAAATTGCACTAAGAGTTGTCACTATGCTGTATCTGAAACTGTTAAAAATTTCTGCCAAGTCTTCAACCCTAAAATTTAATTGTCCTTCTTGCCTGGAGTCCATCAGTTATACCCGGACAGAGCCTGGTTGTTTGGTTTACAAACAAACACAATGACCACAAAAAGAATTGAAACAGCTGCTAAACCCAAAGATCTATCAGAAGCCAGGGAGGATGGATGAAAGGACTTCAGAGCTCCAGTCTGTCAGACACAGGGCAGAGAGCAGGTGTGAGCCGGCAGCGTAACTGAGGAAAGCCCGGGCCCCAGGTCCAAACTCCTCAGCATGGAAATCACCGCAGCCATCCAGACAGTGGAGAATACTCGGGACACCGACAGACATGTGTCCCTCCCCTTCTCCAGCCCCTTCACCCAGTTTCACCTCAGAGAGCACCTTCAGCAGGACCGCTGGCCATGAGGGAAGTGAACCCACCCTATGTGACTCTTGAAGGAGCTTAAGTGCTACCCTATCACCTCCCTGGCAAGGCAGCCCTGGCTTGGCCCTACCCTGCAAACGTCACCATTTAAAACATCACAGCACAATTCACAAGCTTGTTCATCAAACAGCACTCAAAGATGTTATTTGCTCAAGGCCTCGTTGAGGTTGTAGAAATGAAACATTTAGCAATAAATGTCATGGAATACAAAACTAAACTTAATATGTGGCTGTTATAATTTTATTTCAAGTCTTGACATATTTAAACTATCTAAGATATATTCCAATATAAACTAAATCCTGCAGACAACTGAGAAGAGGATCCTGAGTCAAAATAAACTCTCTCCTCTTTACCAGAAAGACGATATATTCACTACAGCACCAGCGGGAACTAGCTCAGCTGCCCATCACAGACAGCTACAAAGCTGGAAGGGAAATAAAGTGTCCCTGGAAGACAATGATCCCCAAGTAAACAAAAACCCACTCAGCAAGTTCCATGATGATTTAGCTCTCTGTGCAGTTCCATTTTCCTCTGCAAGATGAAGTGCCGGACTCGGAAGGCTAACAGGCATTATTTAAATGCATCTATAAACTTTTCACATGCCTTTCTTTTAAAGATATAACCTAATCTACTCCTTTGGACTTGGGCTACACTTAATGATTTGGTTCTAGTGAACAAAATATGGTCGATGTGATGAGTCTAATGACTTAGCAGGTCATTAGAAGTCACTTCAGCGTCCACCTTGGTTTGCGGTGTTGAGAGAAGCTACCAACTACTCACAATAGTCTCACACAGGCACACTGGGCAATGCAGGTGGTGAGGGTCATTGGCCTCTTGCCGGTGTCCACAGCAGTTTAGCAACTCCTCTGATGACCTGTTATGACTGGATACAAGCCTTCAGGTGGCCACCACTTTGTCTGACATTTAGCCTAGAGAGACCCTGAAGCAGAACCTCCCAACTAAGCTCTTCCTCACAGTAATGAGTGTTTTCTGCCATTCTGGTGTCTTTGCTCATACTTGTATTGAAAGAAGAGACAAAGCAGGAGGAGTATGAGTTCAAGACCAGCCTGCGTTATATCACTAGACTCTATCTCTAAACGATCAAGCGCAAATCATAAACTTACTACTCTTTTAGGTCAGGACGCTTCATTTATCTGGCACTAGACAACGGATACGGCTGTATAGCTTTGTTGGATTTATCTATTTGGCCTTCATTCTAGTTCTCACTACCCGACACCGGAGCCCATTAGCAATATTACTGTGTCCCAGTCCCGGCATTCCTTATCTCAGGCATACTTCACCTGCTCCATTAACCTGAACCCTCATCCAAAATGTATGCTGACCTTTCACCTCCTCTCTCTGTTACACTTCACTTCCATTTTATATGGTACTATATATAGTTGAGTGCAGCTGTTTTCAATTCTCATATGGTAGGTATAACATCTCTTATGCTATTAACAACTTTCATGAGCACAGAAAAAGGAAAAAGGTACACCAAGAACAGGTACGGGTCCACTGCTAATAGAGTCGTGATTGTAGCTAGCTACGGGCACCGTGTTTCAGGGGCCTGCTCACTCCCCTAGCCACACGTGTATGTAAAATACTAAAGAACAAAATTGGTCATCCAGCGCAGCATGTTACAACACGGCACTCTGCCACTGACTTAGAGCACGTGTGCACTGTGAGCTCATTTTCTCCTCGCTTCACTTGCCACCTCACAAACTCAGTCAACTATAAATACAACATGTTAAACGCTTCTTTCAAAACAGCCTCAAATGTGGCGATTCCCAAATTATTTTAGATGACAATTTACACCAGGATGGTTTCTCCCTATCAAATGAGATCAAAGACATCAGGTACCATGCAAACATTTAAAGACAACATTGTCATATTTTATTGGGAGCTGTGAAGCCCCAGATCCTGAATTTCTTGTAAACAACTTGTTTTCCCCGATCTGAGTGCCTACAGCTGCTCTGAGCACGAGACCCTCGGGAGTTCCTGATGGCAGGGGAGTGGTTTCTGGTGCGTTTGGCTGGGGCGTGGCTATCCCTATATAAGCTACCCCTGGACACAATAAAGGGGGCATTCCTGTTTCAAGGATGACTCATGTCTCTGTCTGTGAGTCTTCGTGTGTTTCAATCTCCAGCCCCTTGCCCGGTTCACGAACTGTACAGTGGCGCATAAAGCGCAGACGGACGTGGTGCGCCGCAATACTTTAATGCAATTCAAAAAAACGTCATCAGTACAGAAGGTCCTTGGTTAATAGGATGCTAATTTTACAAAACTGAGTTTCCTAATATTCCTATTATTAGTAATAGTGGAAGTGAGAAATTACTATAGTTAGAAGGACAAGGGTAAAATAAAGTCATTCACTGGAGAGGAAAGTATCCTGGTTCATTAAGTTTGCAGCCTGCCAAAGGCCAAGAAAGAGCTAATAGGAACACCAGGGGTAGCATGACCTCGTAGAACTCATATAAATACTGACTACATGTTACTGAAAAATACTTTTCATCTATTTTCATATCTTTTATTCCTGAGACAGGAATAGAAACTTAGCACCTACTTTATGGAACAGAATTGTTTACTGAAACTATTAAAGAAAATTCCCTGCACTGTGTGTAGCAAAAGAGTAAGACTGACCTAGCTGAAGCCGGCCTGGATGACTGAACTTAAACTAACTGGGGTTGTAGATGATGGTAGAGCCCTTACATGGTAGGCCTGCCTGCTCAGGTCCCCAAAACCACAGACAAGGCAAAACAAACAAACAAAAAAAAAAAAACTGATAGGGAGCTGGAGAAATAGCTCAGCAGTGAAGAGCACCTATTGCTCTAGCAGAGGACCTGGTTTTGGCTCCCGACACCCACACTGCGGTGCAGCCCTGCATAAGTGCAGTTCCAGGGGATGCAGTGCCCTCTTCTGAGCTTCTCAGGCACCGCACTCCCACATGGTGTGCAGACAAGTGCAGGCGAAGCGGTCAGATACATAGAATAATTCTGAGCTTTTTAGAATAAAATATGACAGCAATTACACCATGGCTTTAAAGGCCCTGGAGGAGGACTATGAACAGAGCTTGGTGGGGGTGTTCGCTCTGCCTTGGGTTTCATCCTCAGCACAAAAAGGAACAAAGAAAGAAAAACTTTCATTTCACCTAAATTGTTCATATCAAGGAAAGGTAAAGGACAATTATTGAGCTTCCAGGCAGTTCAAGTTAAAGTGATCTCACACTCTGTGAGCATACATGCTCCAAACTTAAACAAATCACCACCCAAAAGGATGCCCCAAAGCTTTGACTTTCACAGAAAAATGTGTACGTACCTTGAATGAGTCCTCACCGAAGGGCAGGGATTCCCCATAGTACCGATGTTCAGCAAACACCAGCATCGCTTTCAGTTCCTCAGCCACTTCCCACATGAACCCCTGGAAGAGCCACAAATTTACAAGGAAAACAAGGCCATGAGCCAGTGCCTCGGACCTTTGCAAGCCAAGTGAAATAGATGTTAAATCAGATCAGAAAGGGCTCCGAAAAACTGTGCAGTTTACGAGTGTTCCACAGAAAAGCCCACAATAGTTGCATCAGATTGTACTAGAGTGGAGGAAATGAGACCAGATTATTCATGTACTAGTTGCTTCCTGTCTCCTTATCCTGACCCTCTGACCCTGAGTCAATACTGTATGTCAGTCTTCAAACCACACTATGTCAATATTCTAGGAAGGAGGTAAAGCTGCCCCCCAAAGACATACACAGACAACATAAAGGAATTAGCAGAAAAATGAGCATATTAAACTCGCTGGGGATTTTAGTCATATATGTCAGCTGTTAATAACTCCTGATTCCAAGGTGTCCGACAATGTTCTAACCACTACGTGTCATAATTCACCTAATTAGCGCAATAAACAGGGATCAGGCAGTGTGGTTTTACAGACACGGACACTGAGACACAAGGCTCAGTGTTCACACAGGTGGCAGAGCCAAGACTGAAATGCAGGCTGTCATGCAGAGCAGTCACCCGGGGCCACACCCTCCTCTGCATGCCCCAGTCCAGCAGAGCTGTCCATCTCCCTTCAACACAGAGTGCTGCAAGAACCCCTCTACACAAGTCCGTCTTACACCACCAGGCTGTGAATGTCTGAAGAGTGGAAACAGACCTCTGTGGAGCTGACCTCAGGCTTCGGCAGGAAGCAGCTTAACTGAACCGATGCCTGGGGCAATCAGCAATTATTTGCTTGTACCTATTTCAGGACTATTTTTACCTTTCAAGAGAGGTCTGCGTCATTCGTCAACAATCTGTACCAGCGAGCTCCTTAATCTTATTATTATTTAGTCTTCACTGCTCTAGGAGCTGGGCATTCTTACTATAACCACTGAGCAAAAGAGGTGAAGCTGGAGCTACTTGCTCAAGTGAGACAGCAAACTGGCAGTCAGAACTGAAACCTCGTCAACCTGCTTCAAGTCTTTACTGCTTCTCCAAAACTCAGTGTCCAGAAGCGAATGTGAATTGAAATGCTTTAGTCTGTAGGAAGATGTCAAGGACTGGGGAGGTCTAGTATCTGCTTCTGATGCTTATCCAGGACTGTTCCTCTCCTACATGGTTCTTCCTTTCCACTTGTCTGAGGACACGGATACCCAGCAAGCGCTCAGCAGGGTTATGGAGCCTGAGGAGCACTGGAGTCTGAAGACTGAACATCTCTCTGCCTGTATTAAAACACAGAGGAACTGGGCAGGGGAAGTTGCCTGTGGGTTTGGCAGAGAAGAATAGCTAAAAGCAAATTAAAACCCAGTAGAGGGACGGAGCTGAAGAGTTGGCTCAGTGGTTAAGAGATTTGCCTGCTCTTCCAGAGGTTCAATTCCCAGCAACCACATGTGCTCACAACCATCTGTAAGGAGATTTGGTGCCCTCTTCTGGCCTGCAGGGATACATGCAGGCAGAACACTGACTACATGGATAGGTAGGTAGATGATAGATAGATAGATAGATAGATAGATAGATAGATAGATAGATAGATAGATAGATAGATAGATAGATAGATGATAGATAGATAGATAGATAGATAGATAGATAGATAGATAGATGATAGATAGATAGATAGATAGATAGATAGATAGATAGATAGATAGATAGATAGCTCTTTAAAAAAAGTAGAGCGAACTCTACTAAGTGGAAACTAAAGGAAAATGCGGTTACTTTGCCTCTGCCCTCCCAACATGAGAGTCAAACTTATATATGTTTTCCTTGTTGGGAAATATTATTTTCAGGAGTGTGACTTTTGTTTACGCTGCATTTGTTTAACTCTGTGTTACCCTGCCTGATGGTCCTAATAAAGAGCTGAACATCAATAGCGAGGCAGGAGCAAGGATGGGCGGGGCTGGCAGACAGGATAAACAGAAAGAGAAATGAGGAAGGAGAGCGAGCGAGAGAACAAGGAGAGGAGAACATCAGGGACCAGCCACCCGGCTACACAGCAAGCCATGGAGAAAGAAGCAAAGAAAGATCTACCGAAATAGAGAAAGATAAAAGCCCAGAGGCAAAGGTAGATGGGATAATTTAAGATAAGACAAGCTGGCCAGAAACAAACCAAGCAAAGGCCGGGCATTCATAACTAAGACTAAGCCTCTATGGTTTATTTGGGAGCTGGGTAGTGGGCCCCTCAAAAAGTCAAAAGAGTAAAAGAACAACCAACAACATTTCCTTATTTACGTTGGGTTTGTTTCAGTCTTACTTACTAAGTGATAAGTATTTATTGAACATCTACTATAAATACAGCACAGTTCTTCACTTTAAAAATACAATATTAGTTAAACAAACAAAAATTCCCACCCTTACTTTTACCTTCTATATGCCATAATCCAACTTATATACAATAATGTTCCCATACCTGCTAGCCGTATAATTAAATTTCCCCAAAACAGTGGTTTTGTCTGTCTGTCAGTCTAGCCTTGAACTATATGGCAGCACAGGTTGGCTCTGAATTCCTAGCTGATGACCCTGTCTCCCTGACATTTTCCATGTTTCTATTACTATTGAGTTTATTTTTGTATTACATTTATTTACTTATTTGGGGGAGGGCACATGCCATATCACAGCGGAGGACATCAGAGAAGAACGTGCAGGCATTGGTCTTCCCCTTCCATCATGGGGTCTCAGGGACGAAGTCAGGTCGTGAGCCTTGCCCACTTTCTTTTTACTTTTAAAGAACATTCCAGTTTAAAAGGGCCATCCTTGGTCATCTCTACTGCTAACCGTTTTCCCCAGAAGCTACGTTTCAGCAGAAGAATCTCACTCGTGTGTACATACCGTATTATTGCAAAACCAGGTGATGTCCCCTTCGTTCCCGGTGTAGAACAGTATTGACCCACCGTTTGTCTGCCAGTGTTGATCAGCTATTAGGTACCGCTGTTTAAAAGTTCTCGTGTCGGAGAATCCAAAGTGGTCGACCTATGAGGGAAACAAAGCAGGCGAGACAGATGTCAAGGGAAAGTAATTCGAATTAACATGCAGGCGACTCATCCTTCCACTGAAATCAACCTGTACGAAAAAACAATCAAAAGAAAATTCAAAGTTCACTTGCTCTTATTAATACTAAGTCATTTTGAAATTACTGTGCTTATGCACTAAGATAAAACAGTATTTGTTATGGTGGTCAAGATTTTCAGTTAAAAGAAAAGATATAATTACAAAATCAAGTAGTTACTTAAAAACATAATGTCAAAATTATAAATTTTTAATTATTTGCTTTATCTGATTAATATCAATGGAGAATAAAAACTGTATATATTGTTATATATAGTGCTACAACATAATCTGAAATATATATATATATTTTAGAGTGGATAAACTGAACATAAGTGTCACTTTTCATACTTACCTTTTTAGTATGGTGAGGACATAATCAATGTCTCAATACTTTTCAAATCACCAACACATCATATTAGTTTTCGAAAAGCCTCACTATCTGAATTTTCATTATTCAAACTTTTATTATAAAAGTCAAGGACTAATTAAACCACCAAAAAGATCTGTGAACTGAAGATACCAATACTAACAGATATCCTAAATGTTGGGATTTGATGTGTAATAGAGCCTCTAAGAAAAGGAGCCAATAAAAAAACTAAGGCTTGTTACCAAAGCGACTGATGGACATCGGGACAGAGAAATTGCAAGGCAGGTCTATGCACCCTACTGCACAGTGGCTCAAAGGCATGCTTACCAACAACAGGGTTGAATTAACAGATGAAGGAGCCAGAGACAAGGAGCCATTTATTAATGGCTCACATTCTAATAAGCTTAGCATGAAACAAATTGACCACAAAAGAATAAAGGTTGTAATTGATTGAAACATTCAATTCATGAAAATCAATAGTATATGTGCTGGGTGCTTTCATGTGTCAACTGGCTGCAAGCTAGAGTCTTCAGGAGAAGGAGCCTCAGCTGAGGAAATGCTTCCTTGGGATTCAGCTGTAAATTTTCACATTTAGTGAACAATGAGGGGGCATCCCATTGTGGGTGGTGCCATCTCTGGGCTGCTGGTCCTGGGTTCTATAAGAAAGCAGACTGAGCAAGACAAGGGAAGCAAACCAGTAAGCAGCTCCCTTCCATGGCCTCTGCATCAGCTCCTGCTTCCAGGATCCTGCCCTGTTTGAGTTCCTGTCCTGACTTCCTTCAGTGATGAACAGCAATGCAGAAGTATGAGCCTAATAAGCCCTTCCTCACCAACTTGCTCTTTGGTCCTGGTGTTTCATCGCAGTGATAGAAACCCTAACTAAGACAGCATATAAGAAAACAATTTTAAGCTGGGCAGCGGTGGCACACCCCTTTAAAACACCAGCACTTGGGAGGCAGAGGCAGGCGGCTCTCTGGGAGTTCAAAATCAGCCTGGTCTACAAAGCGAGTTCCAGGACAGGCTCCATAGCTACACAGAGAAACCCTATCTTGATAACCCCCACCAAAAGAAAAGAAAGAAAAGAAAAAATTTTATACAAGAAAAAAGTTCACTTGCTGACATTTAGGGCGTCCATTGGGCCACCATAAATTAACTCCTTACTTTGAAACTGAAAATTCGTGGTTAAAAATTCTATAGTAAAGCTGCCTTTCTGATGGAATTGTCCTTCAGGGTACCGAATTGTCCCAGCTGAAGATGAAGAAGAGCTATTAATTAAAAATTAATGCAGAAAGATGACTATGTTAGAGACATGATAGTTCTGCAAAGTTACTGATTCAGGCAAGATTTATTAATGGCATTTAAAAACAGCAGAAAACTAATTTTCATACGTGTAACAATGGTATCAGAAACAACATTCTTGTCACTGGGGCTATCTATCATCACCTTAATTTAATGATCAATATTGACATCACGGGTGGCCAGGCAGGCAGGGCATATATGCCTTTCTCGTGCATACAACATAAAATATATATCATGTGTGATTCATTCTTGTCAAAAGCTTCCATTTTATCTTAATCCTGACTTTAGATATACTCCAAAAGAGAATATACAGAGGGTGGCAGAGGAAACTGAAGTCTCTTAAAAGGCAATTGGGCAAATCTGAATGTGGGACATTTTACAGGGCAATGGATAGCCAGAGGACTGCGTTAGAAAAGAAAAGGCCCCTACCCTGGAACATGCGAACCAGCTGCGGCTAGGATTGCAGCAATAGCCACCCCAGAAAGGTGGGATTCCCCACAAGAGTCAAAGAGTAAAACACAACCAACAGCCGAACTTTGGGTATATCTTTAAGGTTTTATTTTTTTGTTTTTTGAAACTGTGAGCTACCACTGAATTAAGATGACTGTGAGCTACCACTGAATTAAGATGGTAACATTCACACACAACTACAGGAAAGGGCTGTACTAGAGCTCTTAGGATGGTGGAGGCTGAATGCCTCCGTGACTTGAGGGGACAATATTAAGGATGTTGTGCCACGTCTGAAGCACACTAATCCTAAGAGGGAATACTAAAGATGGGTAAGAGATAACGAATTACAAGAATTATTCTTACAGTCCCAACAATTCCCTTTTTTCCCTTAATTATATATTAAGAAATACGCTATGAAATGTGCTTTTCACAACATGACTTTCCGGCGTCCTCCTGGCTCCTTCCCACCATCAGGAACATCAGCTGCAGGTTTGAGACTGCTTCCAGTACCCAGTGATCACAGGCACACGGTACAGTGCGCCCTCTGCCGTCCAGACTGAGACCCACAGGTCCCTTTCCAAGGCCTGCAGTGGGCACTTGAGAAATCACAGCATCAAAGGGCTGCAGAAGCAAGGGGACCTGCCCTGCTCTAAGGAAGCTGAGCTCAAAGGGCTCAAATGCTGTGCCCGGGGTCAACGGAGGTGGAACTTCGAACCGTTTCTACAACTTGCCTTAACAAAAGTAGGTTGTATGCCGTGAAAGCCTCACAGCATACATGACCTAGAAAAGAAAGCACATTTCTGGTCACACACGGCAGCTCTTTCTAAAATACAGTAAAAAAGAAGAATTCGAGAGATGCTTCCTGCCTCACCGTGTGGAAATGTGGAAAGGATCTGCAAGCAGAGAAGGCAAGAGGGAACGAGGACTTCCTCTAAATAAGATCAGTGGGGCAACAATGCATGTTTGCATTTTTAAATTGCTCAAGAGTAAAGCATCCTTTCAGAAATATATTAAATCTACTAAGCACAGTTGGGTGACAATTTGGGAGCAGTGAGGATGGAAAAGACACAGAGCACCTGTTTCCTGCTACCGATCACCTGGCCATCTCTAATCAACTGTGGATGTTTTCATAAAATCTTATTATAGGATGACGAGCCTCAGAGAGGTCACAAAATTTCTAAATAACACAATTCTTTTTCCGTGCTCTGACAAACACTGCTTCCTAAGTTCTTTGTGTTTTTTTCATAACACGCAGTTAGCTATAGGTAGGGCTGACAACAAGCTTCAGCCCTCACCAGGAGCCACTCAAGAATCCTCCTCTAAATCTGTGGATAAAACCAGAAGCCATTTGCTAACCAAGGAATGTTGGTTCTTCTGCTGACCTTGATGATGATCATTGCTACAGTGCTATATTTAACTAAACTAGGTCAACTGATTTTTCTTAAAAAATCAAACTCTTTCTCCATGGCCTTTCATTCTAGGAACTTGCCATATGGTGGTTTTATTTAGGAACTCAGACATGCAATAGTAGCTAGCAGAAATTTTGTTAAAGATATTAGAAGATATCCTCAGAGATAAATATGACAAAAAAGAAAAACCAGACTCGCTTCCAATGAGTCAATAGGCCTTGAGGGAGGGCTCTCTTCTGTGCAACCCTAATCCAGAATGAGGAAATGAAGACCTTTTCTCTCCACTTAGATGTGTGTGTTGTGGGTGAGTTAGAGATCGTAGCATTATTCCGTTAGCTTCTCAAACGGGGTGTGACAATGTTCCCAAGCACATTTGATTCCTGAAGGGAAGGACATCTTCAAATAGAAAGGGCACAAGTTATCAAAGAAGGAGCCAAACCTAAGAATGGCCAGGAAATATAGGCAGGCCCTGTGGCTGTAGCTGGAGAAGCCTGTGTATCCGGGGTCACTCCTGAACTGCAAGCTCTGGCATTCCCGGAGCTAGACCAAGAATGGAGAGCAATGCCATGTCTTGTGAATGACATTATTGTTGGGTGCAACTCTGTTTATTTCCACTTTATTATGTCAATGCTTTCAAAACCTGGTCAAACACTCTACATCTATTTGTCTCTACAGCAGGAAGTCAGGAAGCACTGGAAACTGAATGTAGCTGAATTCAGGGGCAACAGTTTTCCTGGATGGCGATGTGACAGCAGAGAGGTGATGGCAAGAGGAAGATAACTCTTACAAACAGGAATTATTCCTCCCTCCACCTCACTGCTAATCCCCCGAGGTCCTGCTTCCACCCTTTGTTTTGGTGTCGGGGTAAAGACTTAATGCATGCTTAGCATTACACTACACAACACTACAAAACCCTGTATCCTAGAGATCACAAGGATGGATGGGGGTCACTTCCTCAGCTCTTCTTCAAATGCAACAACAGCCTATTCTTTTTCAAAATAAACTGAGATTTATCTTAGGTGTATGAGTATTTATCTGAATGTATGCCTGTATACCATGTGAGTGCAGTGACCAGGGATGTCAGAAGACTCCCGGGGCTGGACTTGTTGATCATTGAGTCCTGAGGAACCATGTGTGTAGGAGGTTCCTTTGCTAGCAGTAAAATTTTGTCTAAAAAAAAATAAACTATGAAATTTCCTTTTATTTATTCTTTAACTAACGAGGCCATTTTTTTATTTTAATGTTTTTACTTTTTTGTGTGTCTGAGAAAGACAAGTCTCACTACATATCCCAGGCTAGTCTCAAACTCTTGATCCTGTTTCTGCCTCTTGACTGCTGGGATTATGAGCATATGCCATGACACTCACTTTTAGTTTTTCATAGATGTTATATTCTGG